TGTGTGATATTGAGAATTAAACGGCAGAGCAAAGATGAGCCATGACCTTGTGCGTCTAGGGATCTCATCGCTGATAAAGGGCACATTTTCCTGTGTGTGAGCTATTTCCGGCCTCAGGAGAGTTGGTTTCCAGGTAAAAGGAAAGTCAGTATCCGTCTTGTATAATGAAAGGATGCCGTCTACTGAGAATCAGTCCTTGTGAGAAAGAGATACCTCACTGCTGGTAGAATTGAAGGACAGTCTTGACTTGGTGGTTGGGGCTCCTGCTGTATTTTTAACACAGCGAGGTTTTTGTTGTCAGGACACCGTTAGGTAGTGCTTCTGCAGACACAGGCTGCTGGGGGGCAGCCGCTCAGACCTGCAGGCTGTGCACTCACTAGAGGCTCAGTTGGCTAGGCATGGAGTGAGCAGGGAGGTGACCTCTGCCCTCAGAGAGCCCTGGAGAAGCTGCCAGGCTGGGCCCAGTTCTCTTCCTTTATGTTTATTTCAAGCGCCCTGCTTCCTCGTCCAAATGCAGTCTCACTCATTTTCCCTTACCCTTTAGGACCCGGCTTATACCGAATTTGTTATTTTTCAGAGGAACCTGGATAAAAGCAGTGGCTAAATCTGTACCAAAATTTCCGGAACTTACAAAACATCTAGCTGCCAAATGGAACGGGACACACCTTCTGCCTCAGCACTCGAGGCTGGACAGTAGGACTGTGAGTCTGAGACTAGCTTGGGCTGTACAGCAAGAACAACCCAGACTGTGACAGCATCACCACAGGTCCCAAGGCAGTCTCCCACTAGTCTGCTGAGGGCTACCGCTTTGCCGCTGTGAACTTCTGTACTGAGCCATTGTAAAACCATTGGGGTGCTTCTCTTCACTTTTATTCCTAAAGAAAGTGGTATGGTGTGGTGTGGTGTGGTGTGTGTGTGTGTGTGTGTGTGTGTACACGACATGTTCATATTCCCTAAGGAAGTTGACCATAAGGAAACCATGCCCACAGGAGCTCTTATATAAAGCTTGCAAAACTAATTTTTTTTTAAATTCTTGTTTTATGTGTGTGGGTGTTTTGCCTGCATGTTTGTCTGTGCCCCGTGTAGTGCCCAGAGAGGCCAGAGGAGAGAGCTGGATCCCCTGGAACTGGAATTACAGATAGTGGTTAGCTGCCATGTGGGTGTTAGTAATAGAGACCAGGGTCTCTGGTAGCCAGTATGCTTAAATTGCTGGCTCACCTCTGTAGCTCCTACACACACACACACACACACACTTAACCCCTTCCTGCCTCTGTAAGTCCAAGCTTTCTTCCTTTCTTTGATGGATCTGGTCAACACCCATGATGGGTATTGTTTGGCTACCTTCATGGCCTCCACAACTTCAGGAGGCCACTGTGCAGGCTGGTCACAGGCTTTCGGAGCCTGCTGGGGTAGATGAATGTGATGAGGTTATGCAGAAGGCTGGGCCCCTGTCTGTACCCTGCTTTTGAGACTTACTACCTCTGAAATTCTGAACACATACTAAGGCCTTTCTGAGCAATCAGGTAGTAGTATAAAGGCGAAAGCTCTGTTCGTCAGGGAGAAGAGACAGAGAACTCATCTCTCCCCAGTCCTTGGGTTCTTAACCACCTTAGGTTCTCACCTGCCTCATGTAGAACTAAATTTGAAAATAACAGAGCTATCGACAGACTCGCTGGTCATTCTGATCACCAGCTCTCTATTTTCTGGTGTTCAAGAGGAAGTTGAGAAGGAAATAGTTGAAGGTTAGCAGGAATGCGTTTGCTTGCTCTCTGCTCCACCCCCTCCAGCTGTGAGGTATGTTATTGGACAACTTAGTCAAGATCCTGTGTCTGCTCCCACTTCAGCATCATCAGAAAGTCCTCAGCAAAAACACACAAAAGGCTTCCCGTTGCCAATTGTACTATGAACTGTTTTCATACTTAGCTACATACATTGTCCATTTATCAGTCTGATTAGATTTTCCTGTTTCTCAGTTCCACAGAACAGTGTTTGTTTTTTTTTATAGAATTAATTACTCAAACCACTCAGAATAACATGACAAATTCTATTAAAGTTAATTTATACTCTAACTGATTGATGGCATTGTTAGGGAATGGAGCAGCAACCTGTTCACAGTGCTCGTGGTGGGAAAGTGGGCTCTGTTAGGGTGTGCTTCATGTCACGCCCAATCAGGTGAAACAGTTTCTTCTAGCAACCTCAGGTGATCCATATTCCCAGCCACAAGTGAGATGTGTAATAAACACATGTGTTTTTTGTTTTGTTTTTTTTTTTTTAATTTGACCGAAGAGCTTTCTTGGGACAGTGTCTCCCATAGACCAGGCTGTCCTCAACCTTGAGCTGCAGATAAATCTTGTAATCTTGATAGCAACCGTGGCTCAGCATGCCCCTCTCTATCTCAGGAACTGAACAGTCTCAGCTTGGCGAGGTGGAAACAGAATGATTACCATTTTTATCCCACAGTAGCTGTGAACAGTTTCCCTTACGATTGTCTGTCCTTACAGTTTTGCTTTAAATGGTTGATTTTTAAAAATATATTCTCTCATTAGATGTCACCTGCATGCAGATATGTTTTCTCATGGTGGAGGGTGTGGAAGCCAGAGACTAATGTCCAGTGCCTTTCCTGGTCGCTTTTCCGCTTTACTTTTTGAGATAGCCTCTCACTGAACCTTGCTATTTCCGGTAGACCAGATGACCAGTGCACCCTTGGACTCTATCTGCCTCTGTCTCACCTTCCCCAACCCCAGTGCTGAGATTACAGGTATGTTTGCTCACACCCCCCTTTAATGTGGATGGCAGAGATCTGCACTCTGGTCTTCATGCTTGCACAGCCAGCTCTTTACCCTCGGAGCCACCATCTCCTTGGTTGTTTTTGATAGCTTGAAGTCTTCCTTGCAGAAACGATGGCGCTTCTGTGTTACAGCCTAGAGCAGGTGGAGAGGGGAGCAGACCCTGCCGCTGTGAGGAGCCAGATGCCTCTGAAGCAGATGGCAAGAAGCAGATACCCTCCACAGAGAAGGCGTTCTGGCTCTACAGCAAAGGGGAAAGCTTCTTTTCCATCAGGGGGCAGAGACAGAACAGATCTTCTCTCACCATGCACTTTGCCAAGGGGCTTCTCTGTACTGTGAGTCCTTACTTTCAGGACCAGTGTAAATAATTTGTGACTCATTGAATTTTGCCCCTGACCTGCCTTCTCCATTAGAGAACACATTGAAAGAAGAGTTATTGTGTTATTTCTAGTATAAACTATTGTCTTGCCATTGAAGACCAATGGCTGGGCTAATCAAACTGATTTTTGCAAGACCGAGGCCAAGCCTTTGCCTTCAGCTAGGTGGTAGCAAGGTGACTAGGGAGAGTATGTCAGAGGGTAGTGTGTAGACCTGACACAGAGGACGCTTTCTGTTTGGCTCTGTTGATCTGTAAAATGAGGACTTAAAAAACAGCAGCAACAACAACAACAACAACAAAACCCTATTTGCAGAGTTCTTAGGAGCAATTGGTATGCCGTGTGGAAAGTTCGGAACGGCAGGAGATGCTGGAAAATGGGAGCTATTATGAGTTATGAATTTAAACATCAGGCATCTCAAATGGGAATTAAATTGTGTTATTAAGCTAAATGCAATTAACTCATACTTTGTCATTAAGTTTGAATTAATTTAATCCCCAGGAGCTTTAGTATTAGAAGACTGGGTCCTTTATCATTTTTGATATAAATAGTTTTATTTCTTCAAGATACCCTTCAGCTAGAATACAACAAACACATTTGCCTAATTGTAAATAGGTACTGGGGGTAAGAAGCTACAATCCCGGGTACTTGGGAGGAGTCTGAGGCAGGAGGATCACTGAACCTGGGAATTCAAGACCAACCCAGAACAGCATAATTTAACCTCTGTCTCAAAAAACAAAAACAAAAACAAAAAACAAAAAACAAAAACAAATTCAAAGTAAATAAATAGGTCCCAAACAAATACATAGGTCTTGAATTTATTCTTCTGATGTCCAAGTTTGCTATATAATTGAAAATTTTAATTGAATTTAACAGTTGCTATATGATCCTGTCCATAAAAGTAAAAGCTTGCTTTTCTTTTTTTAATTTTTATTTTGATTTAAGTTTATTTACTCTTCATTCCAAGCCCCTTCCCAAAGCTAGCTTTTCTAAAGAAGTTGAAATTAATAATAATTAAATGATAAAAGTGAAAATTTCATTTGGTATATATTAGGTGAGCTAATAAATAAAATTTCATTAGGTATTATATTAGGTATATAATAGGATTAAAATGTATTAAAGTGAGCTCTTGTTCTCTGATGAAATATAACACCATTTGTTTTAAGTGTGAAATTTGAACCGTCTGGGTTAGAAACAAAGCTTACTCAATTCATTTACAGAGACCCCTGTTCTGTAGACCTACTTAAAACAGTGGTCTTTATTTTTCTTGACAGAATCAAGCTGATTTTCAAATACTGAGAAAATGGGGTTATAGACAGGGGCATCATACTAGCTTAAAACAATACTTTTTAAATGGAAATTATTTTTACTGTGAGAGGGTTAGTTATTGGCTGAATCTAGCATAAAATTGCTGGGATACTTTGATTTGGAAGAAGTGGCAAGGACACAGATTAGTTTCTTTCATTAGGGATATCAAAACACTTTGTGTTAACGTTGAAATGGGGAAAGAGAAGTCTAACCTGGGACCATTTGGAAAGGAAGAAAGGAAGTAAGGAAAGGGGATGGGAAGGGAAGGGACCGGGAAAGGAGGGGAGGATGGAGAGAAGGAAGGAAAGAGAAACAAAGGGAAGAAGACAGGGAGGAGCTTCAAAAGAGAAAACAGAGCTGTGGCAAGAACAGGTTTTCTTTGGAGACCATGTCACTGTATGTAATTGCAGTTGGGGTCCCATGGAAAAACCCCAAAAGAAAGGAAAACAAGGCAAAGGTCTATGCATTTTGGCCAGCAAGTGGCGCTATAAGCACCTCCTGTGAGGGACAGACCTTAGGGCAAACAAGGACTCCGTCAAAACAAGCCCAAGGTGTCAGTTTAAAATATCTTCATAACATTTCCCGTCTTTTCCTTTTTATAGCAGCCTTGTTTATTAGGAGAAAGGCCACATAAAGTGGCGGGGATACCAAGGATGAAAAAGAAAGTTGTTCTGCATTTCTGTTTATTTCTGTTGCCTGCTATTGCAGCAATCTGAGGGTTACATTTCCATAGTTATTACGGCATATCTTGTGGTCGGGCTATATTACACAGCCAGAGAAGAAGGAACTTGGAGCCATTTTTCACATTTCCCCCCCTGCTTTGGTTGGTGGGGAGTCGCTGTGTCCGAATATTTCCCTAACGCTAAGCAACCTCTCGGACTCAGGGGGCACCCTGTGGCGGAGGTAGTGGGCGTTTTTGACCTTCGCGTACAAATCTACGAGGGTTGGCTTTGTGCCTTCACCTTTGGAGCTTCCCGAGTGTTCCAAGGAGCTCGCGACACTTTGTGCCCTGGCATCGCCATGTGGCTTCCGGTTGGCATTTTTTGATCTGGTCTTACTATGAGCAGATGCCGGCTCACTCTCGCCATCAACGCTAGCCACACTGCTGCCTTCTGTCCTGTTCGCGAAAGCCTCGTGGTTGTACCACGGAGCAAAGACATCCTTGTTGGGGTCCGAGCCCTTCCGTGGACTTGCAGACTTTCTGTCCCCGCCCTGTGGGTTCTCTCCCTGGTAGCAGCTGGTTCCGTCTCGTTGAAACTGCAGGTGCTCTTGGCGTCTCAGGGCATTCACCGGAGGCTTAGTTTGAACTTCCTGGGTAATACTGCTTTTCATTGCTCTGGGGTGAAAAAAGGTGAGAAGGAAGAAATACGTGTCTTTGAAAAATGAACAGTCTCCTATTTAGGCCTTCCCAGTTTTTAGACTATGGTTCCACACAGCAGTGGTTTCAGTTGAGGTGGCAAAGTGGGTGAGAAGGGGTCAGGGTGAGGGGCAGAAGCATTCTGCCTAGGAAGGAGAAGGCAGATGGAGGGGGGAGGATGGAGGGGGTGGAGGGGGGTGTTTTAAAGAGATTGGCTGGGAAGCGGGATTCTGTGCCATACCCGGGCCCTCAGTCATTTTCTTACCTAATATTAGGCTCCTGAACTATGTGCCTCTGTCCTGTTTGTGGTGAGACTGTGACAGCATCTTTCGATCTCTTCAAAATTCCATTCCCCAAATAAGAAGAGAAACTCTTCTTGGAGATATATGCTGTGAAATAATTGACAAACAATAGGTTGGAGGGATAATTTTTCTGTTTAGAGTGCTCAGTGCTCAGTCACGAGGACCAGTTTGGAGTTCAGCACCCCAATCCATGGCTCACCCACACCTTTAACCCCAGCTCCAAGGGATCTGACACGGTCTTCTGGTCTCTGCCAGCACCTGTGTCCACATGCGCTCATATACCCACTCATACATATACGGACACGTGCACAGAAGGAAAATGAGGACTAAATACATGAGTTATGTAAGATTTTGTTTGTTGGGGTCCTAAGTCTTTAGCACTTGACACTGTGACATTATTTGGAGATAGGCTCTTCACCGAGATGAGCAAATTAAAATGAAGTCACTGTGGTGGGTCCTGACCATTATGATGGCATCCTTATGACAGCGGCAATTTAGGCGGACACGCAGAGGGGGCGGGGTAAAGGGACCTGTCGCCTACACGCCGCCGGCTGAAGAGAAAGCCTGCTCCTGCCTCACACCGGAGGGAACCAGTACTGCTCACACTCCCACTTTGACTTCTAGGGTTCCAAGGTCGACACAACGAAGGTCTAAGGTTTCATGGAAAAGGGACCTGGGCTTTCAGAGAGCTGGTACAGGAAGATCCTGGGTTCCCATCTCCCGTTGCCCTCCTCTGACACAGTGGATGAAGACAGTTCCCACTGTTTGCCTAGAACGTGTCAGAGAGGATTTAGACACAAAGATCAGATGTTGCTACTCTCTCAGGCCTGGTGGGCTGTGTTTGAATGTTTTACTTGGCAGGCACACCTGATTAAGAAAAGAAAACAACTGGGTGTGAACATTTTGTTTGTTTACCACAGTTGTGTGCCTTCCTTCTACCCATGGCAAGGGTTTGCAGCTGCCAGAGGCTGTGATTCAGTGACCTTCCCATGTTTCCAGTTGATGTTCCGGTCTCTCTGAAGAGAACACACTGGCCCTATTAGTTCTCAAGGCATTTAAGACTGAGTCATTTGGAGTAGAAACTCTTGTGATGGTCTGTGCTTTAGTGGGAATCACTTAAAGCTGCAGAGCTTAAGGCTGGGGTGTTGCCTAATGTTAGATTGCTTGCTAAACATGCACAAGGCTGTGGATTGAGATTGAATCTCCAGCTCTAGACCAACACCCTCCCACCCACCGAACCCAAACCGGAAACCCCAACCTCGAATAACAGCCAAACACGTATCAAAGCACTATCACCAAACAAAAGCGAGGACACTGCCCTCCTGACAAGCGCCCAGGTAGCAGGGAGTAAGGGTTCAGCACCACGCAAGGGGCACGAGTGTCACATGAAACTCATCTGGTCACCTCTCTGAGCCCTTTGCTTTATTGTTTCCTCAGGGCTATTTTGAGGTGTTTTCTATGTTTTTAACTCATTTCCAATAAACTGAAAGATTTGAGCAAGTTCTCCAGGCAGCCCACTCTTGTGCAGGTGAGACAGCAGAGCCAATGGGATCTTTTCTGCGTGGCATCATCTTTCCCTGTTGACTTTACCATGATGGCGTAGTATCGTATCCACCTAGTTATCCCAGTGTAGCCTTTACATTCGATGGACTGCCTTGTGCTGGGCAATAGGCTCTTATTTCCTTTGTGCTCGGACATAGAATTAGTCACGGAACCCAGATGATTCTACTCTCTCAACATCCTGAAAGGCTGGCTTCCCGCCCCATCTTCTCCTTACAACGCTCTAGTTTAAGCCTTTCACATCAAGGCCTGCATTTGGCGTTCTATCAGCTCTACTCTGGCTCTGTCCTAAGCTCTGTTTTCTTAGAAGCACTGAAGTCAGAGAAATCTCTCTAAAATGTGAGCATGGAATCACTCAGACCCTGCAGGGTGGAGGGTCTGAAGCTATGGCTGGAGACGCTGCCTCGTTAGCACGGGTTCCGAAACTGCACCCGCACTTCGGAAATACAGAAGTATTTGTGGCAGACCGTACTCATTGCTACCCCTTTGCAGGACGTGGCTCCCTGCCACACATCTCTCGCCAGTTTCCCTTTTCCGGCATCACCTCTCTCTTCTGCTCCTAGGCTCTGCTCACATAACACCTCTCTGGGGGAGTTTCTCATAGGAGCTTTTAAACAGGGACAGGTAGCTTCCCGTATTCCTTCCTTACTTTGTAGATAACTCCATTTTTGCACTTAGAATTTTTATGCAATTGATAAAAGCACAGGTTATTTCTTTTTATATCAATCTAATAAACACTCAGCTACCTGGCAATGTAAATAAGCATCTCAGAGCATCTCAGAGACCATATTTCCTCAAGTTTCCATCCCAGTCTCGGAGTATCCTGACTCACAGCCCGGGGTGGTGGCACGTATTTGTAAGCCCAGAGTTGAGGAAATTGAAGCAAGGAGATCCTGACATGAAGGCCAACTTGGGCTACATAGTGAGACTATCTCAAAAACAAACAAACAAACAACAATAGAAAACCCCAAATGCCAATCAAACCAATTCATCAAACAAATAAAGGCATGTGGCCCAGGATAACTCAACCTAGCATCTGTGAAAAGAATACCGAATTTCAAAACGATTTATTTCTACCTTCTGGCCTCCTCTCTAAGATGAGGGCTAACCTGTCCATTGACGGGCAGAGAGTTGCATCTCAGGGATAACAGTTCCACTGGATAAATCGCTGAAAACTGTTGCCCAGTACACTGTCTAGAGAACACCGAGAGGACACACAGTCTTTCTTTCTGAGATTTGGTTTTTCAGATTGAGAACCAGGAGACCTTGACCTCTGATGCCCGCCTCTTGCTTCCCACGTAACAAGCTCTCCACACAACAGGGGCAGCCACAGTGCAGGCCTGCCTTTATGCACCTTCCTGAGCATGGAGGCCTGCTCTCAGCTGAGGGAGAAGTTCTATCTGAGAATTAAAGTGAGACTCAACCAACTGCTTTCTAAGACGCTTTTCCAAGCGTTTTTCTTCCTCCAAGTTGGCCCAACTGCTTACTGTAGAGGAGGGATGTGACAACAGAGTTTACTTCAGGCAGGGCCACCATTCAAACTCAAGGAGGCTAGGAGCCATTGCCTAGTTAGAAGTAGTTGAAAATCAGGAAGAATTCCCAGGCTTGTGTCTGGACACTGCTTTTGGCTTGTGCCGAGATGGCATAGATCCGGGTTCTGCTCTCCTGAACCGGCCGCACTGTTACCCAGATGTTCCCGAGTTCCCACACCTTGCGGGAGTCAGGAGGAAGGTCCTGAAAAGCTGAGTTTACTGACTCCCTGTAATTCTGAAGTACTGCTGAAACTCCAATTATTTAACAAAAAGAAGAGGAGCTCTGGTTTCTACAAACCTCCTGACGGAAATGGTTTCCGACAAGACAGCAGGAGAGGTTTCATTCTGAATCGTCTTGGACCTGCTGATCCGAGTAAAGCTGCAGAATCCTAAGCAAATGCGTTGTGCTTAGGTTTGTGCCAAATTCTCACTGAGAGCTCAGATAATTTCACAAGATGGGCGTCACCCCTTTTCCTCTCAGAAGAAACTGAGGTCAGAATCCCAGAGAAAGATTTTCTGTTTTTTTTTTTTTTTAACTTTCCTTTTATAAAATGGGTGAGGACAGCAGCTTATACTTCAGCTGTTCGAGAAATGGCCACCAGATCCCGAAGAGAAAGATGGCTATGAAAAAGTGGTCAAACCAAATTAGCTTCGATAGAGGGAGAACACAGTGGGAAGAATCAAACAAGAAAGCAGGAAGCTAAGGCAGAGAGAGAGAGAGAGAGAGAGAGAGGGAGAGAGGGAGAGAGAGAGTACAAATTGGAAGGATGACAATAGTGGAAGCCAGGGGACAATAATGTCAGCTCAAGAAATTGGGGACCAGGCAGTAGGAGGAGCTGTGGAGTTTGGAGACAGGGTGGAGGGGGATGGGCCTGCTTAAATCCAGAAGGAGAAGGAGACTCCTCTTCTGCTGGTCATTCTGGACAAACCCTTCAGTTCCCTCGGTGAGACAGTGGCTGCTGCTCCCCCCCCCCCCCCGGGGCTAGGGGAACACAGGTTGCTCCTTAGGACCTGAAGTGGGGAACCATTGCTCCTTAGAGCGGCACCTCACCTTGCTGCAGCCGCGTCAGTTGTTTCTGAAGCAGCCTCTGCTCCCTGGCCAGAGACTTCACATGATAGAGGCAGATGACCTCCAGCCTTTGCAGTCGAAGGCTGAGTCTGGCTTCAGCTTGCCTGGCATTCTTTTTCTCCAAGTCGAACAGCTTGTGCAGGGGTCCTCTCATGTAGTTTCTGTCCATCTTCTTTATGGGCTGGAGACAGTAAAGCAAGCGTCTCCCAGCTACCACAAACAACCTGGAAGAGCAAGGCCAAGATGCTGGCTGGCTTCTGGGGATTGGTCACCGACTAGTTCCAGAACTCATTAAACCCCAAACTGCCTAGTCAGATGAATTCCCAATATCCAAACCCACACTTCAACCTCCTTAACTCCATCTGGTAACACTCCCAGGAAGGGACACGTTCCTCTCTGCTTTGATATGCTAACATGGATCCCTGCCAGTACTCACCTCAGGGCTACAGCACAGGATTTGTGCAGGGTGGCAGTCAGTTGCTCTCTCTAAAGCTTTGGTGGTACCAATTCAGGAAAAGATTAGCATTAAAGAAGGGGATGGGGCCAGACACAAGGCAGCTCTAATTGAAGAGCCTATTTGAAGTCAGCTTGATTTCGATGGTAAGGTACAGATTAAACCTTCATCGGAGAACAAGGTAGGTAGCTCTTAGCTGCAAGCCCAGCTTCTCACCATGAAAAGCTTCGTTTCTATGGCTGCGGCAGGCTAGGTCTGCTTTACTGAATGTGCTTTCTTCTAGGGCGGGGGTGGGGGGGCTCCAGAGGGGGCTGCTGGGTAATGTTGACTACACTTGAAAGCTCTGTACTTTCCTCCCTGTCCCCTGGTTAGGAATGCGGCCTCCTTGAGCTGTGGGTACTAGTCCCTCTTGAAGAAGTCACATCTCTAATGTGTTTTGAGACCGCAGGAAGCTTGCCAACTTCCAGCCCTCCCCACAGAGGCCTGCAGTGCTCCTTGGCCTACCGTGTCCATGGGAGCCAAGAATGAAAGCAAAGAGTCCATTTACTGTAACCATTCTCTTCTTTTCTACCTCTCCCCTCCTTTTCCCTCCCCCTCAGCCATTCTCCCCATCTCCCATCCTCTTTCCTGCTTCTTGGAAACCAAAAGAAAACACCCCATTTCCCATTCATGACTGCACATTTTGCACAGAAGGGCATTTAATTTGCTTATATAGTCTATGTTATTGAACTCTGTGCTGAGCGTATTCAGGCTTCTAGCCTTGTTTAGTGCATTTAAAAGTTTATTTAGATTTTCAGAGAAATGGATGAGGTGATATTTTTAAAAATCAACTTTTGTCTTCATGTTGGGATAGCTGCAGCAGAGTGTAGAGCTGAACTCTCCGTTATAGAAGACGATATTGGTGAGACTATTATTGTTTCCTTGGGGATCCAGCTGAAAATAAGAGGCAGTAATAGTCCACAGTCTAAAGACAGCTGCCAACACTGGGGCCCAGTAATCCCCTCTGAGTTTATGAAAGGCTGCTAAGCGGCCCCTATTACCCACAGTCACCACCGGGCAAACAAACTATTATAAAGAGATTACTGAGGAGATGAGAGAGAGAGAGAGGGTGGGTCAGTATTCTCTAAGTAGGAAACGATGCTTTCCCATGGCGCAAGTCCTTCATCTCCAGGATTTAAACAAATAGGGTAGAGGTCCCAAGACAATTACTACATAAAGTGGGGTGCCGCATAAGGGGAGACTGGCACTCCATTTCCCATCTGGAGACCTGGTGAAGTGCATGGAATACAACAGCCATCACTGCGTAACTTTGCTGCTCCCAGAGCTGCTGATATTGTGGCATTGCTTGCACAATTTGTGTGTCATCTTGAGAGAACGCTGGTGGGGAGAAGCTTGCAGGACTAACCACATGAAGGCAAGACTCCATTATGGGAGAGCAGAAACCGGGCAGACCAGGGGCACACAGAACAGACCGGGGACGACTTCCGCTAGAAACAAGTCCACCCCGCAGCCCTAGGTCCTTAAGATTGGCTAGGACCAGAAAGACAAGGGAATGGAGGCATAAAAACGAAGACCTTGGGGCTGGAGAGACGGCTCTGTCATGTGTCGGCTGCCCAAACATGAGGACATGAGTTTGGACCCCAGTACCCACGTGAGAAGGCTGGGCATGGTGGTGTATGCCGGCAACTCCACCGCTGGAAGATATATTCCAGGCATATTCCCAGAGCTCACTGGCCAGCTAGCCTAGCTCAATTAAAAGAAGTCTCACAACGTAGTGTGAGAGTCTGTCTCAAACAGTAAGGTGAGAAGTTGCTGAGGAAGACGCCCCACGCCTATCTTTGGCGTCTACGTGTATGCACACGGACATGCGCATTCTACAGCGGGAGGAGGAGAATGATGGGATATTGCTCTTTGCTCTCTTCTGCACATCCCTAGAGAGCAAGGAGAGAAGCTCTGAGCTGCAGATGAGGCAGATCTTTAAAGTGGGCTGAGGGTTCTCGCAGAGCTTGCCCATGTCTCATCGAGGGAGAAGAAAGACAGGAGAATCAACGAAGATGGCGAGCGGAGGGTCTTGCCGCTGCTACCTCCCACAGGGGAAAAAAAGCGCTTTAAACCAGTCAGAAAAGCAGCTACCAAAAAAAAAAAAAAAAAGGAAAAACATATCATGTTGAGTATTTTAGGTTATCTGCTCTTCTCGCGACGATCTACAGCAGCAACCACCATCAAGATTTTAGCAGGCATTATTTTATCCTGGTAGGTATTGAAAAGCTAACTGTAAAATCCAAATGGCAATGTAAAAGGGCTTATGATGGCCAATGCAATTTTAAAATGGGAGAAAAAAAAAGTTGACTGGCATTATGGGATTTTTCAGATCTACTCAAAAGCTACAGCAGGATCATTCTGTGCCAGCGTAAAAAATAAACATGCAAGACCGCAAAACAGAAAAGACACTCTAAAAAAGCCTGGGACATCCAGTCAGTTTGCTTTTGACAGAAACATCAGCACAGTTCAAGGAGGGGAAGGATACATTTTCCACAGTGTGTTGGAGGAGTTGTGTCTGCAAAGAAGAATTACATCTCAGTCCTTCCTTACACTATACCAGATGAAAAAGTTAATTGGAAGAAAAATTTTGTATCTTAATTTAAAGGCTGAAACTACAAAATTTCCAGAACGGAAAAAAAAAAAAAAAAAAAAAAAAAAAAGGTCTTTGTCAAGACAGGTTTGAAAAAGAGATGGCAGAAGAAAAAAAAAAAAACATACCAAAAAGAAAAAAAAAAAGAAAGTTAATAAATGGTATTAAATGATATTAAACCTCTTTTTCTCCAAAGCACACTGCCAGAGAAGAGAAAAAGTAAGCCACAGCTCTGGGGAATGTTCCGACAGCCTGTTTATCTTCCAAAGAGACTGTGCATAACACTCCAACAGTGAATTAGGACAGCAACAGCCCTGGTTGAAAGCAGACAAAAGACAAGCACAGACAATCTATAGGAATAGGCAGATGGAAATGCTCAATGTAATTGGTTATTGGGAATTCCATAGAAAGCCCACAGTGAGATACCCCGACTCTTTGACTAGCCTATTGTAAACTACAAAAAACGGTTTGCAAACAAAGGTGTTGATGAGAATATCAGTCAGCTGAAACTTTCATAGATTAACTATTTAAATATAAATTATATAATCATTTCTGTAAACCAGTGTTTACAAAATTTCTTGTGAAATTTAACATATAGACAGGACTTGGGAATTCCATTTCTGGAGATTTAACCGAGAGAAAGGTAACTGCAGCAAACGACCTGTACAGGAATGCTCAGGGCAGATATCTATATCTATATCTATATCTATATCTATATCTATATCTATATCTATATCTATATCTATATCTATATCTATATCTATATCTATATCTATATCTATATCTATATATCTCAGTCCTCAATCGAAAACAAGCTGAATGGCCAGTTAATAAGTGGATTGAGAAGCAAATTGTGGCTCATTCACATTAACAGGACACTGCTTAGTAATTAAGAAAATTTGATATATGGATCCCATAGACACCAAGCTCATGAAAGGAGTTAGGTGCAAAAGGGAAACTTGCTCCAAGGATTTGAACTAGTATAACAGGCTCGGTGTCTTCCTGGACAGAGAGCTGAAGATGAGGACTGATGACAAGAAGGGAGGAGGGGGATTTTGGCGAGAGAGAGGTGTTGATTATGTTTTCCATACATGTGCCAAAGCCTACAACCTGTTTGCTGAAACTCTGGATCTTAATGTATATAAATTACATCTTAGTAAAGTTTATTATTAAAAAAAAACCCATATAATTACAAAAAAAAGTTTCAGGGAGCTTTAGTTTGCATAGGAAGAATTGCTGCTTCTGGTAACCAGAAAGCCAGCTAAATATATAAAGCAACTGTTTCCATACATCCAGAAGCAGATGATGCAAGTGTGAGTCCTGTGAGATAAAAAAAATAACACAAAGAAAACAAGCACAGTAGAGCCCAGCTGGCTTCAACCTGAGCGGAGAATGGAGGTTCAGCAGGGTACGGTGGTGGCTAGTGCTGAGCTGTGCAGAACTAAACGCATGTACGCAGGCAAAGAGATTCAGACACAGGGATACACACACAGATACACAGGTGAAGGGGGGTAGAGAGAAAGAGAGAGAGAGAGAGGGAGGGAGGGAGGGAGGGAGAGAGAGCTGCACATCTGTAGAGCCTTTGGTTGACCCTGCCCTATTGAGGCAAGAGTGAAATGTCTAAATGCTTGCACGTGAACAATAACTTAAAAAACGGTGCACTTATACATCAAAATTACTTCTCAGAAAAAGCAATAGAACTACTGTTACATGCAGCAACTCGGGTTAAAATCTGAAGCATTATGCTAAAAGAAAAATTCCCGTACGAAAGACCCCATGCTTTGGGATGCCGAACCTGCAAGCTTAAAGCAGTTAGAGCAGATCAATAGCTGTTTGGGGTTCAGACGGGGCACGTGGGCTCACTCTAGAGAGCAAGAAGTTGGGGTGGGCACAGGAAACGTTCTGTGTTCTGCTCACAGTTGTGTTCGTAGCGATGCATTTACTTACCAGTCTTTTAAAAACGGATAAATTCTATTGGATGTCAATTATACTTCAAAAAAAATTGAGTTTTAAGGTATACCTGGGGGGGGGATTGTGGGTGGGCAGTGAGATGGCTCAGCAGATAAAGGTGCCACCAAGCCTGAAGACACAGGCTCAGTCCCTGGGACTCGCGTGGCGGAAGGAGAGAACCAGTTCCTTCAAGTTGTCCTCTGACCTGCACATGCACATTCTCTCTGGCATCTCTGTTCTGACCCCTCCCTCACAAACCCAGGCATCGTTATGAAAAGCCACCACAAGTTGGCTACTTTCAGAGTGCTTCGCCAACAGTGTGCCATCCCTAACATAAATGCCACGTAAGTGGAGCGGATCGAGCATCCGCCAGGTTTCCCCTCACTGAGGGAAAGATCTTTGAACCCGTAGTTTACAGATGCAGAAGGAATCACAGAAGTGCAAAACCTACAGGAGGTAATGTATTTAGGCAACAGCTCCAGCCCAGTCCTTAGGTGACAGGTTCAGGGGAAGATTCATGGGGATACATCAGCTGACCCCACTTGACCCCTTGGTTAACTGTCTTGCTTAGGGAAGGGTTGAGGGATGTGCTTGCACAAAGCATTCTTATACTGAATTTATTCCAACC